GAATGCTTCAGAGTAACTTTTGACATCTGAACAGCAGTTGTCTTGTCAAGGCTGTTCCTCTAGGGTCCCTCCCAGGAAGAGGGGGATGTGGAGAGGCACACACCTATGAATTCCTCTCTTTCCTTTTCTTGCTTTGTCTCTAGATTACCAGCTGTTAAGTTTCTGTGAGACTGGGATTTGTATGCCCCAGCCTCAGACGTCTTGGAAAATAAAGCTGATCTGTAGAGTAGTCGTTTATATCAACTACTTGAGGTGTCTACTTGGGAATGAGATGAATCGTCTAGATGTTCGTCGGCGGACTATAACGGAAATCTGGATGACTCCAGGATGTCGATGTCTGCATTAAAGAAGCATAAGGCTAGCTGAGATAGAGAATCATAGAATCATTTCAGTTGGAAAGCACCTTTAAGATCGAGTCCAACCATTAACCTAGCACTGCCAAGTCCACCACTAAATCATGTCCCTAAGCGCCACATCTACACGTCTTTTAAACACCTCCAGGGATGGTGACTCAACCGCTTCCCTGGGCAGCCTGTTCCAATGCTTGACATGGAATGTCCCATCCTGTCTTTTCTTCATATATGGGAAACATCTAGCAGATCAAGATGCATTATTATTAAGAATATGCGTCTCTGCACATAAGGCCTAGATCATAAATGCATCCTTTCACTGTAAAAAAGATATTTTAATATCTATAACATAAATCATGATACTTCTTATGATCTTTAGAAGTATTTTAACATTTTTTAGCAACTAAATTAATGGAAATAGTAAATTTTCCTTCAGCTGAAACATAAAGAATATGACTTTAGAAAGTCTTATAACTGAACTCTGTTGCAACCTGAAATATGCTCAAGCAATTCTTTTATATAATATCTGTGGTCTAGAAGTATATATTTCAAAAGTATAGTATTTGAGAAAATGAATGCCTCTTGGATGACTACATTCAGAAACTGTTGCCACAGAAACCATGGGGGAGGACAGCATCAGGAGAATGAGAAAGAATAGAAACAAAAGAAGTGGATTGGCCATTTATGTGCAAAAAAGCAAGAAGATATTTGGCCGGCTAGAAGTGTCAAACCTTCAGATATCCAGCAGTTCATCTACTGAAATACAACGCTGCAAGGTACATCTGTAATACGATTCCTTACAGTATTAATCAGACATGCTACAAGAGATACTCCTGTATAATCCAGAGTGGACAAAGTCTTCAAAAAATGGCACGAGGAAAATACGACAGCGTGCTGTCTCCCCGAAGCAAAAACACAAAAAGCAAATTGCACTATTGCAGAAGCTTGTAAGATTATCTGGGAGATAATTCAGTTTGCAACCAATTATGTGGCATCAAGTGGAACCGTACAGGCCATAGAAAACTGCAGGAATCTTGAAAGGCACTCAAACAGAAAGTCAAAGATTGCCTTGAAGCTTCTTCCTACCCATAAATTAGAGAAAGAAGGCAAAATATACTTGGTGTGAAGTGCTCTTTCTGTCTGCAGTTCCAAGGGAAAATTTAGATACTGTGGAGTACTGGACCACATTTTGAAAAGAGCGGGGGATGTACGGCTATGCTGGCCTGCATCTGACAGGTGTGGGCTAATCGTGGCTGGAGACTAAGCAGAGCAGCTGGGAAGATGCTAAATTAGTAACATACGGAGAGACTGATTTTTTTTTTAAACGCCATGTAAACTGAGGTGCTGTGTTATGAGCAAACAGAACTCATGCCGCATAGAATGAGGGGAAATACAGAAACACTTTCTATACCATCAACCATTAAAATGAGGTAAAATATGAGGAAACGAATAAGAGAATTGGAAATTATCACTTAATTGTCAGCATTAAGCCCCTTGGGGTGATTGGAATTACTCACAAATTAAGTATTCCAGGTATTTGACCAGCTAAGGAAAAGCAGGGTGGGTAGACCAGGATTGTGCGTGTGTTTGTGTACGCTTGAGGAGACAGAGCTTTGAAAACAGTTACTGAGTCACTGTAGTGCCTATAGGCCAGTATGGTAACTAACCCTGTCTGAGACAAGATACCAGTCATACCTTGTATCACTGGGGAGAGACAAGATCCACCTGACAAAATGCGACAAGAGCATCTTTGCCAACTGGCCAGCCAATGTGCTGAGGAGAACTTTAGGAACAAGGAAGACTCTTGATCAGAGGCCCTGGGTTTTGGGGGAATTTCAGCCTGCTTGACATCTGCTACCAGCACCACACATCAGAATGCAAGCAGTCAAGGAGATTTCTGAAAGGCATCAAGGATAACTTCTTGATACGGGCTGGGCCAACCAGGGGTGATTCACAGCTGGATCTGCTCTTCACTAAGAAGGAAGAACTGGGGGATGTGGTAATCAATGGCTTGGTTATCAAAGCCTGGGCTGTAGTGACTGAGGAGTGGGGTTCGTGATCCTGTGGGGGCTGAGGAAGGAGAGCAATAGACTACAGACCCTGGATTTAGGGGAACAGACCAGTTTATTCAGGAAACTGGCAGGTGGGATCCACTCAACAGCAGCTCCAAAGGGTAAAGGTGCTCAGGAAAGCTGGCAGGAGAGCACAAGGATCCCAATACTGAGAAAAACAAATAAATGTATTGGGATTTTCAGCAATGAGAAAGCAAAACTGATGTGTTGTGAAGAGAAAAAGAGTGGCTAAATGGGAAATTAAATTAAGGCTGGGGTTATCGTAAGATCTATATTGTTTGGTAAATTCATCCCATTCAGATGCAGTGTGTTTTAATACAGACACAAGTAGAATTACTCAAAAACACAGTGAGCAGGTCATGTCTACAGAGATGAGGGGCTGTCTTGTGGAGAGCAGTGACTGAAAAGAAATTAAGAGTTGGCAGTGGCCAAGCCAGCAAAAATTAATTTCCAGTCTAATGCTATGGTATAAGGAAATAATGGAACCCTTGACTATATAACCAGAGATGTGGCAAGTAGGAAGAGATGTTATTTTCCTTCTGTGTATGGCATTGGGCAGATTTTTGTGGTAATACTGCGCTAGCCTCTGGTGTCCTTGTTGTCAAAAGAATACTGAGAAATTACTTGAGGCTGGAGAAGATTCTTTGAATGGAGAGACTTAAACAGCACAATCTGTTTGGCTTATCAAAAAGAAGACTGGAAGGTGTCTACAGTGATCTTTAATCTTGCACAGTGAGAGGCGTAACAAGAAAAAATAACTATAAACTGAAATCAAATTCGAATTAGAAATTACACACATTTTTTAACAGTGGAAGACATTAATGGTTGGAATATGCTGCCAAGAGAAATGGCACATGCAGTATCTCCTAGGGGCTTCAGTTAAAGAACAGATGCTTTTCGCACAGAAGTACATTAGTTGAACAGATAGAATGAATTCCCTGCCCTGAAAGTCTCGGAGTGCGTAGCTGTTGTTACTACATAGTATTTGAATTACCGTAACACCTAGAAACACAAGTCAGAGGCTAGAGCCCTTCGCCTCCTTAGTCATTATGTAAGACATTAAGAGAAAACCCCATTCTATCTTCTGAAGAACTTATATTCCAAATGTACAGAGGCACCAATAGACACAGAGGAGCAAAGAGAAAACGAGTGTAAACGGCTGCTGCTCATCCTTTGCCTCTCCTTGTTTCATAATCTTGTGGTTTGGCAGGAGCCCAGCTTACTCTGGCGTGTGTGGGTAGGTTGGCTTTAGAAATTGAAGAGTAGGCACGGTACAGGTATGTTTGTGCCTGCATCATCTATCTGTGACTACAGGTGGTTTTGCTGAGTCTGGGGCATGACAGGTTTTTTTTAATGTTGCTTGACAACAGAATTGGTCCCACGAATCTATTTACGCGCTCCGCTAACCAGTCAAACCACTAACTGGTCGGACTATTGCTGCAGCATCTGAATGCAGACATACCACATCTGTTGTTCGACTAGTATACAGTATGATTGCAAGACCATAGCATATTAGGACCATAGGATAATTCAGGTTGGATGTGACCTCTGGAGGTCTCTACTCCGACCTTCCGCTCATAGCAGAGTGAGATCTGAGGTCAGAACAGGTTGCTTTGTGTATATATACTTCTTTATTTGTTCTGGAAACTCCTAAATTTGGATCCAGACGTAACAGCAGGGGGTTTTGGTCCTTGCAAGAAAACCATCTGAATTCACCATCTGTATTTTTATTGACACATAGCCCAGTGAAGGTCATCCACCACTCTCACGAGACATTAACCAGCCTTGCCATGGAAATGCACCTTACTCTGTGGGCAACAGGTGTTGCAGGATTTGTGCTATGAAGTAACAGAGAGTGAAAGACATAAAAGAAATTTTCCCCAACTTGTACTTCATAATTCCAAGAAAACCTGAAGCTGCATCAAATTACACAGAACTGGAATCTTAACACATGATGTGAGTGAAATTGGATCCTTCTGGGGAACAGAAGAGACAAACAGGAAATACATTTGGAAAGTCATGTTATATCAAACCATCTCGTACTGACTGACAGGTAGTTAAACATCTATATTAGTAGATTAATCTTTGTAAATTACGCTCATGGTACATTTTCAGAAAATAAAACTATTTTCATAACAGTTGTACATGCTCTCTGGGAGCTACGACGGGGGTGATGGTAGGCTAACTGGATACGGGAGGATCTGAGCAAGTAAACAAGTGATACATTTTATTCATAGGTTCAAAAGAATGAATTCAGTCTTAGCTGTAATCATAAGCAAGACATTAATAAATTATTATCACAGAAAACTATACAAACTATAAAAATTATGATACTATAATTGTACAGTAGATAAATATTATTTTATTCCTTAGCACTTTTCATCAGTAAATCTCAGAATATTTTACAAAGAGGTGGGAGATATAATCGTTATTAGACCAAATCTGTAAACAGAATAAATTAGGTGAGAATTCTCTGACAGGATAAAATTTGCTTATGATGATTTTTCCCTTACGCTCATTTTGGAAGACCAAAGCTTTTCTCACTAAGGGTGTTGGGTTTTGTTGGTTTATGTTTGGGTTTTTTTCTTTTTAAGCAGAGGGTAATATTTGTTTCTTGCAGAGTTCACAGGTGGGGATATTTTGATACTTTCATTTTCACAGCTCAGCTGATACTGGGCATCTTGCCATATACATATAGCTGGCAAACATTAACCTGTTATTACACAAAGGATTACCAGCATCTGAAAAGTTAAAGGAGAAAATAAAAAAATTTATGCTACTAAACCGAATACAAATTTCTACCAACAGCACTTAAAATATACATCAGTTAAGAGAGATGTCCAATAAGACTGTAAAATACAAGAATTTAGTTTTGTTGAAAATAACAGTAGATTTCTAAACTGTTACCACTGTTTGAGTCTTTAGACTCCTAAAAGCAAGTGAAAATAAAGTTACAGTTCTTAGAAAAAGAGTCCATTTATAAAATGGAAACTCTTTTGAAAGATGTCATTATATTCTGTAAGAGAAACGTGTATAGTTTGGGTTTCAGTGATCTCGATACGAATCTTGTGAACTTGGCATGAAAACAATAACTGCGTGCTTTTTGACATTGTTCTGAACAGAATCTTTTGGAGAAATAGGGCCACAAGTATATTTAGAAATAGGGTTGTTTAATATTGTAATTAAATACTTTCAATAATAGAAACTTTTCTTAAAAAGTTAATGGCTTTGATCCTTGACACAGGCACTAGGGAAACCATTGTCTCAGTAACTCCAGTTTCTCCGTAGTATGAAAACCTCAGGAGTCAGTGACAGTGCTCTAACACTAACTTGGGAAATCTATTACTAGAGGTGAGAAGTACAAGGCACTTCTTCAGTCTCTGTGTTCTCTACCAGAATACCAAGCAAAGCTTCCCGCTGCAGTCAGCAAGATAGTATTTTTGTGATCTTTGCAGCAGTTCTCCAAAAGCAAGATTAGCTGTCATGTAACAACAGGGATGCACAATGTGACAACAGGCAGCCTCCAGGTGAAGAGTCTTTGTATCATTACAGTCTACCCCACTAATCAATTCTCTACAGTACCAAGATACAAAGGAAGCTGAGGAGGAATATGTAAAACTGCATGCAGATAGCTACACAGTGGAAAAAATTACCAACAACAGGTAGAAAAAATACTGGAAACAGCTTTGCGGAGATAATAAAATCGCTGAAGAGCATTTACTGTTAATAGCCTATGTTTTTCATGACACTAATGGGTGGTTAATTATTTTTGTTTTAATTGAAACACATGTCACAGCAATATTTTGTGCTTCTGCTGATCTAAAGCTATTGTTCAAGTGCATGTTGCAATCAGTTCTCAAACAATGCTCCCTTTGTCAGCAATACAGAAGTAGAATTATTTTGATTTCTTCTCTTGGAAGATTTACACCCTGGAAAACCCACAGTTCCCCTCTGTACTTGCAGATGGTCAGTTAAATACTTCCATCTGGTTATACTTGTTTTTCTCTGGTTATACTTCATTTTTTCTAAAAAAAAAAAAAAACCAACAAACCACAATGGAAAAAACCCAAAACAAACAACCACAGGGTAGAATTATTTTGATTTCTTCTCTTGGAAGATTTACACCCTGGAAAACCCACAGTTCCCCTCTGTACTTGCAGATGGTCAGTTAAATACTTCCATCTGGTTATACTTGTTTTTCTCTGGTTATACTTCATTTTTTCTAAAAAAAAAAAAAAAAACAACAAACCACAATGGAAAAAACCCAAAACAAACAACCACAGGTTCTTGCATGAGCAGCAGAACTAATAAAGCTCTATTTCAAACAGATTTGTGCCCTGTGTCTTTATACTGCACTAACCGAGGCATCACCTCCTTGTCCCATCTGGCCTCATTTCCTCCTTCCACTTCCCCTGTGATTTGGTTTCCTCTTCTCCCCCATAGTACTACTTCTTGCCGTTTGCCCTCTATTTGGTTTTCGCTGTTTTGCCCCTTCACCTGCACTGCCTCTCTCCCTTGGATAAGCTGCAGCTGCCTTGGAGCAGCACATCGGCTAATTAGCTTGCATTACTATTCTGCATATTCCATGAAGGACTCCACAGCGTTTCACAAATATTAATGACTCGATCCTTAACAATAACCCTGCTCCATAAATATGTGCTATTATTCCTATTATACGTGTGGGAAAGGTGGTCTAGTTTATCCTTGGCTGGTCGTAGCTTGGCCAAGTTTATCCTTTGATAATTCTCCGTTTCACTTCTCCTTGACTGACCATTGATTTGTTCTTTTCTGGCTGTAGTGTTTGTTCAGAGCAGCTGTTGTTGTCTCATTGACAGGAGTTGCCAGAGCGTAGGCAACTCTCATTATTTTATCGCAAGCCTTGTGATATTTGATAGGTCCCTTGCAACCACAGTTCCTGGGTTCAGGTGATGAAGATTACTTGAGAAAATCACCTTTTGCTTATTGTAACAAACTTTTGGCTCAATAAGCTAGAAAACCGAAAAATGTGATGATGGTGGGACTGAAAATGTTCAAAACAGGGTGAAAATAAAAGCACATGCATTTTAAAAAAATACAACTATTTTAAAGCACCTGTACCTTGTGATGTCATGGGGTCTGTCTCAGGTTCATCATTTAAGGTACCGGTACGTGTAAGACTGCAGAAGCTACAGACTGTTTCCCATTTTGGGAAGGAGGCTGGCCTGCAAAAAGCACATCACTCAGTGAAGGCTGACATTTTCTGACCACAAATTCAAACTCTACTAAAGCACCTAGGAAAGAATATATAATTGGAATTATAATCACATGTGAAGTGCTTTAAGGCAGAGAACAGGGTGCTTTTTATTCCTGTAGTTTCTGTATTTGATTCTTCCTTCCTTTTCTTTCAAGAAGAGGCTATGAAGGCAGGATAGGATTTTCTTTTAGCATCCAGGAGATATGTAGAACTAGAGTAAGACAATAATGTTTACTGAAAGATTGTTACAATCTGCTCAGTACTTGAGTTTGCAATAACTCTGGTTACTTCATGCATTATTAAAAAGAGCATTTTGTAGCACTATTAAAATCATAAACATTCTACTTTGTCTTTATGTTTTCATACAGAAAACCAAATGTAATTTGGCACAGTTTGAAGATAAATTTAAATTTGTGCTTACTGGAATTCAGCTAAGTAGAAAACATTCCTTTACTTGAAATAAAACTAGCAGTATTTTATATAGCCCTTTCCTTCCAGCAAGGTTCTTTGCCATTTCATAAGTAATTAAAAACAATGATGTTAATGGCTCTGGTTAGAACAATTAATGAGAAATACAAATGGCTACCTCAGACACCAATATGCTAATACAATGCCATAGAGTATTTATAGAGTAGAGAGTGACTCCACTCACATTTTTACTTTGTGCTGTTGCATCTATCAGGCACGTTGCCTTTTTGAACTACAGCACCTGATGTTGAGAAGTTGGAATCATAGACTTAAAATAATCTCTGGCACCTATGGAGGTCTTTAGTCCACTCCCCTGCTCAAAGCAGGTCCAGCTAGATCAGGTTGCTCAGGGCCATGTCAAGTTTTAAATAGCCCCGAGGATGTAAATTCCACCATCTCTCTGAGCAACCTGGTGGAGTTTTTGACCACCTTTACATTAAAAACATTTTCGTTATCTTGAGGCAGAAATTTCCCATGTTCTAACTTCTGTCCATTGCCTCTTGTTCTACTGTGCACCCCTGAGAAGTGTCTGCCTCCATCTTCTCTGCACCCTCCCAAGAGATAGCGGAAGAGAGATACAAGAGAGATTTCCTTCTCCTCTGCCAGTTGAGCAAACCCAGCTCTTACAGCTTCTTCTCATATGTCCCTGTGCTTCAGCCCTGTGACCATCTTGGTGGCCCTCCACTGGGCTTGCTCCAGTATGTCCATGTCTTTTGTGTCCTGGGGAGCCCAGAACAGGACACATACTCCAGATGTGGTCTCGCAAGTGCCAAACAGAGCGGAAGAATCCCTTGCCCTGCTGGCTAACCTCTTGCTAATACAGTCCTGGATGTAGCTGGCTTTGCAGCAAGGGCGTATTGCTGTCATCCACCAGGACCCTCAGGTGCTTTTCAGCAAAGCCCCTTTCCATACAGCCAGCCCTCCGCCTGTCCTGTTGCATGGAGTTATTCCAACCCAAGTGCAGGACTTTGTGTCTGCCTGTCCTTCCTGTCAGCCCATTTCTCCAGCCTGTCTCAGTCCCTCTCGACAGCAGCCCTGCCCTCCAGTGATTTGACCGCTCCCAACAATTAGATATCATCTGCAAACTCACCTGAGAATTAGCACCAAAAAAATTGGTTTGTAATATAGTTTCAGTGAGATTTCATCATTTCAAACTCAGTGTGCCATTATTATAAACTGTTCTTATCTATGATACTTTACATCAGGTATTACATTTCAGCAGCAAAGATCATATTCAGATCTACTTAAAGCTGCATCTCTTTGCCCTCCAAAGTTAAGCCTGTCTTGAAAAACCAATTGGCATAGGTTGAGCTTCTGTTAAAATTATACTTTATAGTGAATAAAATAGTCACATGCTAGAAATCAGATAAGGAAAAGGTCAACTAAGCCTGGCCCTCACCAGTCTGCAGTTTTTCCTAGAGTGTTTTGTTTTGGCCAATCTATTTTGAAGTGATTAAAGGCCAATTCTGTCCTATTTATTCCTTATAGACAAAAATTCTTTGAAGGCACTGGAAGTTTATTTTGAGCAAAATCATCAATATATAAGAACTGACTTTGTGCCACTGAAATCACTGAGAGGCCTGCCGTTGCACAAATATGAGATCAAAAAATTGTCTCCTAGTTCCCGGTTAGCAGGTTTAAGGACAAGCACTGAGACATTTACAGCCAGAAAAAAAAAATCAACCCCAGGAGCTTCATGTTTCATGGATCGCGATCATCTTCAGTAATAACAGGAAGTATCTCAGAAATAATCGGTGCACAGTAAGTAAGGTAACTGGGGCTGTTGTGTACAAGTCCGATCAATGATACTCAAGAGAGATGTGTGGGAATGGGAGCAAATGCACAGAGCCTGCTATGTGTCTGGAGGCTTCAAAAGCCTGGTTTATTTAGCTCAGTAAAATGAAGGTGTAAAGGGGGTATCATTTTTCTGTGTACGTAATTACAGAAAAAGGGCAAGCATTGTTGTTCTTCCAGCTAGAAGTACACATAAGCTCAGACATAAACAAATGAACAGAAAATAGCAGTGTGTTCCTAATCATTAAGCCAGTTATTTCTTAAACTGTAGTTAAGAGCTCCTAAGAGGGCTAGTGAAGGGCTTAAGGGGGGTTCTGAAAGATCAGATTTTTTAAAATATATTTTAATATTAATTCTATACTTATATTCAATACATTATCAAAACAAAACCCCCACAAAAATCTCCACATTATGCAGATTTACTGCTGGCAGCAGCTCCGTTCCTCCATGACAGAGGAGCAAAAACTATCTGTAATTACCAGCTGTGCCAGCCAACGAGCAGCTAATCACCTTTAGTCAAACAACTAAATATACAGCGAAGCTGATGCTGACAATATGAGGAGTTGCTTGTTCCTGGCTAGATGGGTTGGACTCAGAGGAGGTTACACAGAGATGGGTGACCTCAAAAAAGCAGTAAGACTTACAAAAGTTTGAGAAATCACTGCATTAATGAAACCAGTTTCCTGAGAAGCCAGCTCCGTTAGTAAGGGAGGAAAGGGACATTAATTGCTTTTGAAATGAAGTTTGGTAAATCTGAAGTTTGATAAATGGATTATATTATTTGGTACCCGTGAGAAGCTGGTCACAGTTACACACAACAGCTTCCTTGCAGG